AGTATGTCTACTGTGCCAATTCCATTTAATGAAACACTAATTATAAACAAGGCTATCTGTCATCCCAGGAGATGTCTAGAACTTAAAGTCCCTGATAAGTTGGCAGAAATGTTTTGGATTTAATATGTTAGATTTAAGTGGAAAAATCTCAGTAGTATGTGCCCTCTGCTTCTTTTGTTAATTGTGGCAAGTATTCTATTTAAAAATTGAAATGTTTCTGAAGACTTTGAGCACTATCACAGCAATAGTAGGCAGCTTAGAAAAGAAACCAGGCTTTTCATGGCATAGATTTATGGGTAATAAATGCCACCACTAGAATAGAAAATGATAATTATTTCTAGTAATTTTTTTTTTATGTATTTAGACTTTTTAATCTTTTATGCAAAATGAAGTTATGGGCATATTGACCCATACATTTCACATGTAATGTTAAAATTTTAAATATCTAACATTATAAGCAAAACTGGTGTTATGTGTATCCAACTCAAGACTATGAATAGTAGTGAATTTTTTTTACTCATTTTGTTGGGGAGGATGATGAAGATCTTAGTCTTGTGTCTTCTGTACAATGGCAGAAGAACTTTTCAAACAAGTGATTAATAATTCCAGATCCTCTGTATCAGCCCAGAGGTGTTTAGCTCTAAGATGTTATAAGGCAGCCAGGTCAATAGAGGCCAGATACCACCCGTGGCCAACTCATAAACAAATTGCATTCCAAAATTGTGTAATTTAAACATTTTATAGAGACACACACACACACACACATGTACATGTGTGTTTCCTTAAAAAAACAAAGTTTAATGATGTCAGGTTCTCAGAGTAACCAATATGTAGTGAGTCCACTGTAGCCCGTGGTGAAAGCTAAGCAGAATTTAGTGCTGATAGCAGGTTCAGGGACAGGCTCTGGGAGTGGGGGCTGGGACCGCCAACCTTGGTGGTTTGAGAGGTAGAAGTAGAGCCTTTGGAATTGGCAGGAGGTCTGAAAATCAGAATGAGGATTAAGATATGGTCAAAACTTTCATGGCAACAACAGAAAAGGACTCTAGCACCTCAGGAGCTGAGCCTCTTGTTCCGTATCACATTGTTCTAACGGGGGTGTGGAATCACAGAGAATTTTCTCATTCGTGAAACACTCACTGAGGATCTGTCATCTGCTGGCTGCAACGCTAGGTGCCAGCGATACCAAGACGCAGATGACAGTCTGCCTTCCCGGTCTCAGGAGGCGTGACGGTAGCCTCCGTGTACTGAGCTGCTGCTGTGCTCCCCGACGCTGGGAACGGCAGCTACAGGAACTACTTTTGTTTATTAATGTTAAGTCCATCTCTCAGACTGGTATAGTGAGGCATAGAGACTGTACAGAATTTACACAGTTAACTAGTAGAGATACCTCTCTTCTTACAGATCAAATGTTGCATGAGAAATCTACAATAGGTGGCCGTGCTGCTGAAGTTGGTGGCACTGTCGACTGCAGAGGGTGTCTCCACGCAGGGTTGGAACATTGCCTCATCCCCCAGCCTACATGCACCTGAGCTCAGTGCGGAGGGAGACGGTTTAGAGATGCTGTTGTTTAGGGTTGCAAGGGAGTTGACTGGAACGCAGATGTTTAGAAAGAAATGATGAGGGGCTGGGGAATATTAAACGAAATCTGCCCAAGGGACCTGCAAACGCTCAGTCTATCCTGCCAGTCGCTTTTCTGCCCTGGGAGGCGTGTGAGGGAGGTGGACACGTCAGGACAGTTGGGAAGGAAACGAACCCTTTATTGTCAGTTGAGCTTGTGCCCAAAACTCCAAGGCAAAGCACTTTGCTGGTAAGCTGGCCGGTAGCCCTTGGCCCAGGCTTGAGACGCACTGGATTATTTCCCTATTTTCAGCCAAATCCAGATCCAACCACTATCTGGGCTGGTTGCATGAAAGGGCGAGAGGAGGAGAGAGTGCCAGAGAGGAGGGGTTCCGTGCCCATGCACTTGAACTTTTCACTCAGTGTCCACTGGCCGGTGCAGCCTGAAATGCTGCCTCCCGGAGAGAAGACGCTTCCGCCCTGCGCGCTCGCTCGAGCAAAGGAGGGAAGTCAGGCTGCCCGGAGAGGCCGAGTCAGGGTTGCAGTCCGTGTTGTTCTGACCCCAGCGCCCGTGCTGCCTCTCCAGCACACGCTGCCTCAACTTCCAGGATCGGCGCGTCAGGAGAACAAAACCTGGAGGTGTTGAAGTGTGACCATCTCCCTTTGGCAGGCCAGTTCTAAGCTCTGGTTTTATTGGACAAAATATTGTTCACAAAATGTGACACTAGCAGGTCCATAGATGTTTTTTGCTAGTCGAGAGCGCACCTTGGCCTCTGGTGCCTGGGCTGCCCAGACTATGCAATAACAGGCAGGTGTCCAGGCCACGTCGGGGTGAACGAAAGGCCGTGTGGTTTGCTCTGTGGAAATTGCAGGTCTTGCAGGGCAGCAGACTGCCTGAAGCACCATCTCCAGTGGATCACCTTTTGAACTCGCGCATCACCAGATGATTCGGGTTTGGGTTGTTTATAAAGCAACCACGGAACTTCCTACTCTGTCGCAGCCTGGACTCACCAGGGCCCTATCATTTTACCAGCCCCGCAGGACCAAGCACATCTAGGAATCTGAGTTTAATAGACTTTCTCTCTTGATCTTCCTCTGTGTGTGCATACACATGCTAATACACGTGCAGACACATACGCACGTTTACCCAGCATTGGGAAGAACTCTGCCCAGTTTCATTAAGACCATCTATGTTTCAACGTCAAAAAGAGAGAGGACTACTTTGTCTCAGGCCCAGGATCTCTCAGGATCTTTCAGGGTATCCTCTTTGATGCCGTATCTCAACGCCTCACTCTCACTCCGCAAAAGCAACGTACATGAAACGTTGGCCTCTTGTATTTTGTAATGATAAGTGATCTTTCTTTAGATTTTATTAACAAAATATGGAATGTGTTTTTATCAGGTCCATAGATATTTTGTGCCTTTTTCTTCTTAGGGCCAATTTTTACAGCCTCTGTTGTAATGAAATTAGGCTACAATGGACAATTCTAATTTTCTTTTTGAGCATGTGCCATTTGTCTTTTGCCTTCCCACAGCCACACTGGAGGCTGGGCTTAGAACGATTTAAATGGAAATCACTTAAGTGGTAATTTTACAGTTTCTGCGTGTATTACTTTACATACAGCGTAGACTCGTTATCTCACCTGTCAGGCCGGGGATGCATCGTTGTCCGTGAACTGCCAGGTTGCATTTGCTGAGTATTGTGCTGGGATTATCTTTATCTCTGCTTTGTCACTGGAAGGAGGCCTGACGTCACGAGTGCTTGACCTTCTCCTGTTTAAGGGTTTGGAGGCTCTAAGCCCCCGTACATGCAAATTCCAGAGCTATAACAAATCTTGACACTGCCACGTTTTTTATGGAGAGTGTGAGTCATGTTTTCGTGACATTCTAACTTTTGAACCGCCCTCTTCCTTGTCCAGGTTAGCACTCTGTAAGCAGCTCGGCACCTCATTTATTTCTGCAACAACTTCAGCTGCAGTGTGGGAAAAAGTCCTTACTGAAAGTCACTTTAGCAAAAAATTAAATATAATATGTGAAACAGTTGCGACATATGTCTAGAAATTTGAAATTTTTTTCTACTCAGCTTACTATATTTCTGGAGCTATGTATATTAACAGATGAAGGAAATGTTGATGAGATTCAAATCTTTATTACAGAAAATAGAAATAAAATGGCTATAATGAGCTATGTTTCGAAATCATTGGATTTTTTTGTTAATATGCTGGTGTGTAGAAGCCATTTATATACTTTCCTAGGTGCATTCTTTAGTCTCCTTATTTCTCCTTTGAGTTTGTTTTTACATCTAGTGGTTCAAAGAGTTGGGGAGGGCGAGGTGGGGATTCGGGCAGTCTTTGTGTGCCTGTTTTCCCAGGAGTTTCAGTATACAGACCCTGAAGAATTATCTGGGGTTTATAGATCCGAAGGTAACAATTGCTCCATTGATTTTCAAAAGGCATGGAATCCTGTAGGCAGAACCCCATTAGGCTGTGCCCGTAAAGGATCCAGCAGCTTTTCATTGGTATACTTGTTAAAGATTACCAGCCTTGATAGTACCAAATTTCAAAAGCTGGCAAAGTTAAGAAAAGAATGAGCAAAAAGCAGCAACAGTAGCCCAGTGACTGTGGCTTGCTATTGTTGGGCTTTTTGGAGACCAGGCATCAAAGCAAATTTTCTTCAGAAGGGATGATTTGAGATACAGTGCAGCTAGATTGTTTTGTGTTGTGTTTAGGTTTCAGGTTACAGAAACAATCAGATTAATTCCTAGCAAGCAGCGAGACATTACAGCTGCCCCCTCAAAAGGCGTTTGGATTCTTGTCCACGTCTGTACTTAAAAAGTGCTATTAATCTTAAAATTACATGCAGTCGTTTCATTTTTTCTTTCCCTCCTCCCAAGGGTGATTATTTACCTGTTTGCTGAAAAGGTTGCTGTGGCTTTAAGATCTTAAAGGAGAACAAGAGATGAATTTTTAAAGGGGGACTTTCATACAAGGTGACCTGCTGATTCTGCTCTGTGTGGATTCCAGTGAAGTCTTGCTCTGTGGATTTCTGATTCTGTTTCCCTCCCACCTTCCATCGAAGATGTAAATCAGTGTTTTGTTCCCTTTTTCCCCTCTTTATTTTTTTCTATATCAGACTCTGAATCCTCCTCTTCCCCCACCCCCTCTCCTGGCCGCCACTGTCCTCACCTCCACCCCACCGGGCGCTGCTGCTGCTGGAATGGGACCACGGCCCGGGGCAGGAGCCACTGACCAGATCGCACATTTGCGGCCTCAGACTCGCCCTAGTGTGTAAGTGAGGGTCTCGTTTATTACTGCTTAAGTCTTCGTTTAAAACTGAGTCCGAACAGCAGAGGGAGAGAAACACCTTTCTGATATGAGCTAGTGACGGGCTTAAGGCTCACCAAGTGGTTTGTGTTCTTCAAGCTTCTACCTGGTCGTGCATATAATTAGGAAACAGCTGAAACCAAGTGGACCTAATACCTGAGCTTGCCAGGTAGCAATCTTGCTGAGTGAAGGCCTGCCATAGTTCAGGGGACCACACTGTTGGCTTCTGTACAATAGTATATGTTTATGGAACTGCGCTTTTTGCACAAGTCCTGTTCGAGCTTTTTATCTTCATTTTCATTTCTTGAGTTAGGATAGTAATGAACAGAGAGGTATTGCACAAAATCAGGTCTAGATCCCATTGGCAGGTAAATGTAAAACGCTTTAAGTCCTCAGCAGTAAGTATCCAGAAAAGTCTAATTATCCTGTGGAGAGTTTATTGATGGCAGAGTACAACTAGATTCTTGTGGACCCTGCATTGTGCGAGTTTACACACAGCTTAGAGCACTGGTAAGAACTGTAGGTTGGTGCCGCTTGGCTGGTTTCCACGTGTTCATGGGTACAATCACCTTGCATTGTGGAGTTGTTTTGTGCTCTCTGTGATCTAGACCTTCTTTTCCTTTGACTTCTTCAAATTCAGTCTTCTTCCTGGCTGAGCATACAAAAGCAGGTGCAGCCGGCTTGTGTGCGGAAGGCAGCATGTTGTGCCTCCCGGTGGGATTTCCTACCATATGTCCTCCCTGGGGCTACTTCCCAGGTCTAACAAGTGCCATTTGAAGAGCTTAATTTTCCCAGTAGGTACATAATCGCTCGCAGCAAGTTAGGCACTCCTGGAAGCTGCATCCATTCTTTCACACTATACAAAAACCATTTGGTGGGATAGTCACTTCCACACTGGAAGGAGTGGGTTCAGCAGTCAGTAATCAGGAAGGCCTTTTCCTGCATTTAAAATGTAGACAGCAAAACCTCTTTCAGTGGAGAATCGCCAGTGCTGCAGGTTAAAGGATCATGCTCTCTGTTTGCTTTTGTGCAAAATGTTCAAGACTTTGTAGCAGGGAAGAGTTTTGAGCATCGTGGGGTTTATGTGTTACTCAGGCTGGAATCAAATATTCTTTTCTATTCTAGGTATGTTGCTATATATCCATACACTCCCCGGAAAGAGGACGAACTAGAGCTGAGGAAAGGGGAGATGTTTTTAGTGTTTGAGCGTTGCCAGGATGGCTGGTTCAAAGGAACATCAATGCACACCAGCAAGATAGGGGTTTTCCCTGGCAATTACGTGGCACCGGTCACAAGGTATGGCTCCGAACAAATGGCTCCCTAAGTTCTAAGCAGGAAGCTTTGTTCTTTTCCGTGTTTTCAGCCTATGCGGATTCCTTCTCACATTATAATTGCCTGTTAACGTAGCCAGAGTTTTTAAAATCCCATCTCTATCTGCTAAGATCCCTTCTAACTCTAAAATTCTTAGCTTACTGTTCACATGGATATATGTGATATTATAGATTTCTACCAATAAATATACTCGGTTTTAAGTTATTTGCTTGAATTTATCTGTAAGAAGACTCAGCTATACCATTTTCAATACTTTTCTACTAGAAAATAAAAAGCCTGGTATTTAATGTAAACAAAACAAATTAGCACTTACATGTTTATATAATGCTTACTGTAAGCCAGGCAGGCAGATCTCTAAATGCATTATACTGATTAACTTCAATTCCTTAAGCAATTCATTGATGCAGCTGCTCTTATAATCCCCGTTTAATAGATGAGGAAATCGAGGCACACAGATGAAATAACTTGTCTGAGATCACATAGTGAAGAAGCGCTTCATCTCCAGGTGTTCTAGATCCATGTTTATTCCATTAATTCGGTGATATTCTGAATTCTGGCAAGTAATTCTATAATAGGTCAAAAATAAAACTTTTAAAAATAGCTTAGAGTCTTCTCTACTGAGGGTGGTTTTCCTCCCCAAGGGCAGTATCTGGACACGTTGGTGGTTGTACTCTGGAGGAGGTGGGGGTGCTGCTGGCACGCGTGGTTAGAAGCCGGGAATGCTGCTGCACCTCCTATACTACACAGGGCAGCTGCGCACAAAAGAAGAACAGTCTGGCCCAAAATGTCACCGAAGTTGAGAGATCCTGTTATAGGATGATTGGAGCTCTAGATATGTAAGATTTTCTTTATTTTATGTAAAGATAACCCAACTACTGGTCCCTGAGGAAAGTTGCTTTGGAAACAGAGTGAAATGAACTCAACACTGAGGGAGCCCTGGTTTTTGACCACTGACCATTAATAAACGGTCCAAGTTTAACTGTTAAATCATTCCTCAAACCTCTTGATTTTAAACAAACAGCTTAATGAACTGACATGTTTGTCAGCTGTTGGCCTTGATTTATAGGTTGGTCAGCAGCCTAATTAAATGAAAATCACTATTGTTGCAGATGGTGACAGAATGTTAGCTTTCGTTTGACTTGCAAATTTTTAATCAATATAAACCTTCTTTTCTGTATACGTTAAAATCTACATTCAGGATCCAGCCCATCCGGAAAATAGCAGATAGACCCTCCTTGGTGCAAAACGATAATAATAATAATAAAGGAAAGTACAACAAACAACAGCAACAAAAAATGAATATAATGGAGGAAGACATTTTTATAAGACTCTAAACAAATTACTGAAAGTCTGTTCTTGTTTAACTCTGGAGCAATGCTTGCTTGCATAACTCTGTTATGCATCATGGTAAATGCTAAGGATGTTCCAGTTAATGAGATATTTGACTTAGTAGAAAGTTACTGTATACAGAATTATTGTCATATAAGTGAACTTAGAATATAAAAAAATACATTACACCAAACTATGTTGAACCTATTTAATTAAATTCAACCAGTAAATAGCTGTTCGGGGCTGGCTCTACCCCTGTAAGTAGCAAATACAGGATGAACAGGAAAGAACCATTTCCACTGGCCCTGCGCTGCAGGAATGTTTGCCGAGTCAGCAGTATTTAATGAGGAATTTATTAAAAAGTAATACACCACATTTTATGATCAAGAGCCAAAGTATAAACAACTGTGATATAAACAGAAACAGAACAAAGGACAAAATCCACTTGAAACAGTATAATCATAAAGTCTTAAACCTGAACCTCAGGCAAAGCTTCCTGAATGACAGGATTTGTGCTAGATCTTGAAACATAAAGGAAATTAAGACAGGTCAGTAAAAGCCAGAAAGGACATTCCAGTAGCGTGTGTATGTGCACACGTGTGCACGTACCAGGAGCTGTGTGATGGGGCTGGAGGCAAGTAGGAAGACGGCGGGAAACAGCAGCAAAGCCACGGAAGTGTGGGTATCGTGAGGGACACCCCTGGCTTGTTCCGTAGATGAAGCAGCAGAACCCAGGGCCTGGAAAGTCGGTGGAGATAGTCGGCCTTGATGTGGAAAGTTGAACTTGAGCAGAGCATGACGTGTGGTTTCTGGTGACTCAGAAGGCATCTCAAGACCTTTCTCTGCCTCGGGGCTATCACTACTTTGGATTTTCTGTTCTTAAGCTTTGTAAAAATAATGCCATTCATTTTTTAAGACGGTCTGTCTTTAAAGCTCTGAGTCATTTTTCTTGCATTAATTGTTCTGTCTCCCACTTTGCTGATGGATGGGGCTTCCCGTCTCTGTTTCTGTCTTGGCAGGGCAATGACAAACGCTTCCCAAGCTAAAGTCCCTATGTCTACTGCTGGCCAGACAGGTCGGGGGGTGACCATGGTCAGTCCTTCCGCTGCAGGAGGGCCTGCCCAGAAGCTCCAGGGAAATGGTGTGGCCGGGAGTCCTGGTGTGGTCCCCACCGCCGTGGTGTCAGCCGCTCACATCCAAACGAGTCCTCCAGCCAAGGTCTTGCTGCACATGACGGGGCAGATGACCGTCAGCCAGGCCCGCAGTGCAGTGAGGACAGGTAAGGAGGAACCCGGACGGGAACGTACTGGGAAAAGAGGTTACCGACCTAACGTCAGACGGTTTATGACAGATGTTGAGGAAAGTAGATGTGATATTAGAATAATGAGTAACGTTGGGACGTAGAAACAGGCACAGGCTAGTCGGTGGCACTTTACATCTGTATATTGGGCTGAGCCCGCCCTGCCCATTGATTCAAGCTTGATCTGTAGATCTCATGACTGAAAGAAATTGGGCTGATCCTGCGCGTGTCACTAGTACTGGAAAGTGACTTCTGTGGTCAGTGTCACTGCTGCTAGCTGTGCAACCATGGCTTGACTCTCTGCTAAGCCGCGTGCTGGTTATTTCTGATGAACTTGATCACATGTCTGCCTTAGACTCAGTGGGATCTCAAACAGCTTTCTCAGTTCTAAAGGCTTGTGAGTTCTACCAGAAAAACAACAAAAAAAGGGAGGAAATAGTTAATATGAAAAGGGAACGGATGAAAAGAGAAAGGACTGGAGGGCGACACTGTTGCTGTCCAGCGTCGTCAGGAAGTGGCTCAGCGTCTCCCACCAGAGGCCGGGGTTAGAGCGGAGCTTCCAGGGACGCCGCAGACTGGAGGGCTGAGCTGGCAGGAAATGGTTCTAGGAACCCAGCTAGGACGCAGTGCTTTTACACGGCCACGCGTCCCTTCTTTATTGCGCTGAATGCAGTGGCAACCCTTCATTAGGGTCTGATGCGGTGAAGTGACTCGTGCTTCGGTGAGTAGCATGTATTAGAACGTTGTTTCTTGCCGTGTTCCTCCTGTCGTCTACCAGTGGCGGCACACAACCAGGAGCGGCCTACGGCAGCAGTGACGCCCATCCAGGTGCAGAACGCCGCCTGCCTCGGCCCTGCGGCTGCGGGGCTGCCCCATCACTCGCTGGCCTCCCCGCAGCCCCCGCCCCCCACGGCAGGCTCTGCCTCCCACGTTGCCGCCCTCGGTGTCAGTCGAGCTGGCGGCCCCCTGGCCTGCATGGCGGCTGCGTCTCTGACCTCTCCGAGCATCACTACCGCCTCTCTGGAGAACGAGCCCGGTGGCCGGACGGTGACCATCCTCCCCGGACTTCCCACGTCTCCTGACAGTGCTTCATCAGCTTGCGGGAACAGTTCAGCTTCCAAACCGGACAAAGACAGTAAAGTAAGATGAATTCCTGTTTCCCTGCCCTGCTAGCTATGAAAGGGCTCCTTGTCCAAGTCCATCACGTGCTCACCACCTGTGAGTCACTGCCAGGTGTGAGGAGCAGCGGGGAGGAAGCGTGGCCACCGCCCTGTCCCCTGACCTTGATCTGTGTTCCTCTGCGTTCAGGCGCCCCGGTCGCCAGGCCTGGGTTGGGTGTTAGGGAAACCGGAGGATGAGACGTCACTCCTTGCACAGCTCACAGTCGCACGGAGGGATTTCCTTTCCCCTTCGGTTACTGGTGCTTTCATCATTTTGCTGTCGTCAGTTCTTCCTGTTCAGTCAGTCTTGCTTGTTAACAGTTCTGGAAAAAAACAGAAAAACACAACTTTGATAAATGAAGAGATTGAGACTGTTAATCATGTGTGTTATTTGCAGATTTATTTTATTTACAGTACATCTGACCATAATCAGCATGGTTCCTTGAGAGATAAGACTTAAAATTTAAGGAAAAGTTATTTTCTAATTCCATAGATTTTTTCGAAAATCTCTTATTTGGGGCTAAGTTTTAAAGAAAATATAAATGGAAAGCTATGTCTGAAAGACTGACCTATGGCTAGGGTGGAGACAGATGGTTGGAGACAAGAGAAATTAATAGTGATTAAATGTGAGCAGAAAGAGAAGAGAAGATAGACAATAGGTCTGGGTGATTTTATTGTATGACTTTTTCCTCAATATTTCATGCATTTTCACTAAAGCTCGATACCAGAACTGGGAAGTTTTAGGGTAATCATAAACTCTTAGCCACTTGGTTCAGTGGTAATGTTTGTTGCTCTATTTAAATGGTGAGGCAAGCCTGTAAACAGGAGTTTATAAGGAAATAAACTTTACAGCCTACCAAAAAGTTAATATTTAATCACTGGGTTAACATGAGACTTTTTGAAAAAGATTGATATCTTTTCAGTGTTTATAATTAACTACGTTGAACTTGTACTCAAGCTGACATGTCCCATTTTATTAATATCTTTTAAAGAATTATTTTTATGGTTTAGATTTTAAGGCTTTGGGACGATGTGTCTCAGAGCCCTTTTCACTGGTGCGAACAGGGGCTCCCAGCCCTCCCGGTGTGGAATCCACTGAGTCTCTGAGGCTGGAAAGGTCCCCGTGGGAGGCAGGATGTTGGCTCCCCAAGACGCCCACCTCCCAATCCCTGGAAACTTCAAATGTGTTTCATTATGTGGCAGGGGGGACCTCGGAGAAAGGATTAAATTAGGAGCCCAAGGTGGGGTTGTTCTGGATTAGCCGGGTGCGCCCAGCGTGATCACAAAGATCTTCATAAAAAGGCAAGAGGGGGCCGGGAGGAGGCGTGCCGGTGCAGCAGAGGTGGGAATGGCGGGAGAAAGGGGCTGCGAGCCAGCGAGTGCAGGCATCTGGAAACGCAAGGAAGCAGGTTTTCCCCGCGGCCTCCAGAAGGAAGGGGGCCCTGCCAGCTCCTTGGTTCCGGGACCCGATTCTGACCACGGAGTTGGAGGTACTTTGTTACAGCACCGACTAATACGGGCCCTTGCGGGTCATCCGTTGAAGACCCACCGGACCCATGGCCCCGGCCTCTGCTTGGGCGCCCGCTGACCTCGCGAGTGCCCTGCCCCAGAGCCCTCCCCAGATGCCCCAGACGGCAGCCTCTCAGCTCAGCCTTCTAACCCTTGTTCTTTGTTTTGAGGGGCCATGTAGAAAGCGTTGATCTCCTTTCTGGGTGATGCATGAGGTATTTGCGGGGTTGTCCCCTTGTGTCTTCTTTGTTCTAAGGCTATTTTTCTTGTTTGTGTTTAGACAGAGTCTTGCTCTGTCACCTAGGCTAGAGTGCAGTGGTGTCAGCCTAGCTCACAGCACACTCCTGGGCTCAAGCGATCCTCCTGCCTCAGTCACCCAAGTAGCTGGGACTACAGGCACACCACATGCCCAGCTAACTTTTTTTTTATCCTATTTGGCTAATTTTTTCTATTTTTAGTAGAGACAGGGTCTCGGTCTTGCTCAGTCTGGTCTCAAACCCCTGAGCTCAAGCGATCCTCCTGCCTTGGCCTCCCAGAGTGCTAGGCTATATTCTCGAAGTTTTTTTCATCTGTTCTTCATGTCACAGACTTCAAATTTTCCCTTCTTAAATCCACTACCTCATTTAATGTTCCAGGTCCACTAAAGAGACTTGTTCTGGTTGATATAAATTCCGTAATTCCATGATTATTGTCACTTTAAGCATCTCGAATTCTCACGACTGGAGTGTCATTTAGCCCACAGTTCTCCATCATGCCTGCAAAGATATCATGGGAGAACTTGCCAGATCCTTTTTGTCCTCCCATCCACACAGTGCTGTTACTTACCTTTAACAAGCGTCTCCTAAAGAGTCTCCTCCTCGGGGTCTCATTGCTGTCTCTGGAGTGCTCACAAATCTTTCATTTAATACTGTTCTAGGATTTCCAAGATGGTCTGCAAAGTGCTTTGTTGGCATCTTTTTGAACATTGGGACTACATGTGCTCTCCTTTGCCTGTGGAGTTGACCCAGATCCCAGATTTGCCGGGATCTCTCCAGACTATTGGTTGCACGTCGGCTGTTAATTTCCTCCGTACACTGGGGTGAATTCAACCTGCTAAGAGTAGTCCTTTGATCTTGCAATCCCAATCTCTTCACCCCGTATCCAGTCTGAAGACTATCCCTCCCTTTCTTCTTGCCATCTGAGAACCACCATCCTTCACAGCAGGTCTGCGTCTTTCTTGTTCTTCTTGTTTCAAACATAACTTTATAACAGCTCTTTTAAAAAATTTTTTTGTCTTTAGCATTTTTGCAAATTTAAGCTCATTCTGATCTTTAGCTTTCTTGGATTGTGATGGGCCATGTTACATTCTTTGTTAGGGACCCTTCTCTTGATCTTTTTGTACATGTTCTTTAAAAATTTGAGCCATTAGGCTGCACCCCAGGGGCTCACATCAGTACCTTTAGATGCCTCGACATTTTTTTCATCTGCAGAGATAATTTGCAATTGTATGGTTAGAATTTCATATTTGAGAGCCCTCTCCTTCCTCTTGAAGCATCGTCCCTTTTGAGTTTCAGGTCATGCATATATTTTCTTTGAACATTTAAAATCAGCTCTTTTAAACTTCAGAGTTCAAACCTGACTATCGCCAGCTTCTTCAGTGCTTTCTTCCACGTTCTCGATATTTCTGCTTCACCAGCTGAACATCTCCACCCCCTGTCGAGCTCTGCATTTCCCCCTAGTTGATCAGAATGAGATCCAGAGTTGCAGTGTGCTCAGCTTTCCGTGAGATTAAACCATCAGCAAGTCAAGGACAAATGCGTTAGAGATTCTAAGTTTAGTTGAGAGTTCCAGCAAATATCTTGGTACTTGACAATGCCCTCATTATTTCTGGCTTCCCTCGTCATTTTGTGATCGTCATCCATGTGCTCAAACCCACCAGCAGCGCCTGGTCTGCCCTCCAGATGATGGCGTGTCTGCTGCCCCTCCTTTGTCCTGTCCCCGGACGCTCTGCTGTGGACCACTACTGGCATTCCAGAGGTTTAGCTTTTCTGTGTAGACGTGGGACTGTCGCAGCTTTGTAACTGGGCTGTTCCTTTGGAGTGACGTTTTATTTGCAAGTCTTATCTCACAAAATCTCGGGGATCCAGAAGCTGTTTTTGTCTTGGAGTCACAATCTGTAGCTAGCTTTGGTGTCTGCGCCCCATGGTTTGATGAATAGGCATCTGAAACTCCGTATTTCATCTCAGCTGTTACTTGTTTGGAATCCTGGGCCTTTCTGCCGCTGGTTCTCTTCTTCCTGGGAGACCCTGGTATGTCCACAGCCGTCAGTTTAGCAGCTTCGTCTGGGCGTTTTCTAGCGTCATCCTTGGTTCAAAGGCTTCATTATGTGATCAGCTAGTTCCCAGGCAGTGTGTTTCCCGTCTTGGTGAGATAGTTAGTATGTGTGTGTATACATATTTTTTATGTGTTTTTTTGGAAAAATTTTTAGATTGTACATATTTAGTTAGAAGTTAGAGAAAATCCAGATGTCCAAACAGAAGGCCTAAATATGATCTGAGATTTCAGAGAAAACCACTAATATTACAGTGTATATGTTTTTTCCCTTATATACCAAAATATAACATATTATTTTGGTATATTGAGTTTTCCTTAAAAAAAAAAATGCTTTTGTTCAGCACAATTGTGTAATTGTTCTCATATTCTCTTAAGTTTCACCCTCACTTCAGAAAAAGAGGAGGAGCAACGTCTGGTGCCTCCCGACCCTGCGTGCTTCCCTCCCCACCCCTGACTCACAGTCTCCAGAGACGCTTTGCGGGTCTCTCCCGCCCTGTCCTGCGTTTCCACGCCATCGGCGGGAGTGGGCCGGCGCAGCCTGCCGTGTCCTGGGTGCGTCTCAAAGACAGCATCCTGCAGGGGGCTGGGAAAGGGCAGCATTTGGTCCCTCCGGCCCCCACCCCAAATCCCTGACGACCCTCTCCCTCAAGGCGCGAGCCACAGGTTTTCTTCAATTAATCAGCTAACATTTGAGGACCTTCCCTATTATTCTTGATTTTCTTAAGCAGAGGGTCCTATCCAGTTTTTAAATATTCATTCTCTTCTATTCTGAACACTTTTCCTAAAGTCTTTACTGATCATTTTCTTTGCTCAAATGATTTTCCTTCCTCCCAGTTCTTTCTTTGTTGTTAGAAACACGATTGTGTGTTTTACCATTTAACACATTAACTGCCATGTGAGTTGTGTTCAACTCATGCTAGTTTTGAGCACGGGGCCTCGTGAGGCATATGTAACTCACACGTCTCTTCATCTTGGGAGCCACGTGGTGCACAGGCAACTCACGCTGCCACGCTGTAGCATATGTGTTATGTGACGGGTGGCCCCTTGGGCAAAAGCCTGCAGTTAGTTCATGAAAATTTTACTTGTTGATGTTCTTATTGTCACAGTTAATATTGACAGTTTAATTGCATACAACTCATGCACAGAAAACAATAAAAACTAACAAATTTTTCATTAAATTAGAAAGGATCGTTTTGTTTTCAAAGTTTTTATTCTATTTTTGTAATAAAACACTGTGGCCCCAAGGAAAAATTTTTTTTTCTAGTGTGGCAGTAAATGTGTTAATTTTCTTAAGGAGAAGCCCACCCTCCCTGTTAAGTGGTCTCGGTCACTGTCCCTGCCCCTGCCCTGCCCTGCCTGGATCCGCATCAGGTCTTGACTGTGTAGATCTGCACACAGACCTGGCTAAGCACAATCTTTGTGGTCTGCAGGCCTTGGGTACCTGTGTCTGCTCTTAGCGCTCCACTGAGCAGATGTGCTCCTAGAAGCGTTGCCTGTGCTGAGCTCACGGAAGGAAAAGTGGGTGGATTTGGCTCAGATCCCACTTGTACCCCTTACTAGCAGTGTGATTTTAGGCAATGAGAATAATAATTGATTCCCGTCTCATCAGATTGCTGCTGGGAATAAATGTGGAAATCCTTGTAAAAGCATTTAACAAGATTCTTGAACCTGGTGGTGTTGACTGTGTCTAGAATTCCCCGTGGCCCCTCCCTCCCTGCCTCCATGCCCTTCCTTAAAGCAGCCTCTCCTGACCCCTCTGGCGCAGACAGCATCTCCTGATCCTCTCTGCTCTCACCCTGCTTTATTTTTCTGCAGAGCACCTATTTTATAGCATGTTTGTGTCTTTGCTGTAGAATGTAAACTATTTATTCGCTACTGTATTCCCAGAGCCTAGCTCATTGTTTATATTAGACCTTCAACAAATATTTGTTGAATGTATGAGTGATTATTATTAGACAATTACATACATTAATTTTTTTAGATTTCTCACCTAAGAACGATGACTCTGATTATTGGGAGCCTGACTGTGTAGATTATTGATGACCTGTGCCAGGGAAAGACTGTCTCTGGTTAATTTCTGTATACATGTGAGGGCAGAGAGAGGAGTAAGGAGGAAGACTCTATGTGTAGAATGTTGTTAATTGTGAGTTGCTCAAATAAAGTTCATTTTTGCCTGGGAAGGAGATCTGACTTGACGTTTTCCATATTGTGCTTATCCTCTGTTATGCAACTAATAGAAAGGCATTAAGTTGATGTTCAGAAGTTATTTTGTATGTAAAAATTATTCCTTTTGGTTATCTGTTGATCATTTTCTCACCCAGATAGTTCTTTTTTTAATATGTGATGTTGTTTTAAATCATCAAATCTTCTGAAGAGAAAATTATGACTATAAAACATTATTTCATCTAGGAATAATTTCTTAGAAAACTCACAAGAGATGAATTATTAAAGTTTATGTTAAAAGATATGCCCTTTTTTCATGCATGCTAACATTACATTTTTAAAATTGCTTTACTGAAGTGTAAGCTTTATTAATGCATCCATAGTTTTCATTTCTGCTGTTGGATTTTGCAAAAAGAAAGGTGCTGTTAGACGATAAGTGTCTGATTTTGCAAAATTATCTCTCTCATGTGGCACATTGTTCTGCTAACACAGAAAACGTCAGAACAGGAATTCTAGAGGTGGAGGAGGGTGGTGAGGAAAAAACAAAACACATCAGAATATGATACTAAAAGCAGAGTTCCTTAAACCGAGGGCGACATCTTTCCTGCGTCAGCTCCCCCACCCGTACCCCCGCGCCCCGCCACATCCCTAACCCCTGCCTTCTGCTCCACGGCAGTCAGCATCGGTTGATGGTGATAACACATCCCTTAGAAGTCATTAAAGCACGCTGTATTTAATGTCTTTAATCGTTTTAGGTCAATCAAGTCATCTTTCTTCTTAATCACTTCAAAGTCCGTTCCCTGTGTGCCATTCAGTGATCTGGTATTTTTTTATGAGTGCTCAGAACTGAGCTTTTAAGCGATGTCTTCAGCCGTAGCTTGCTGAGATTGTAATTTATCAATGGACTTGATGTTCTCACGGGACCGGTGGGGGTCCAGGGATTAGGACGTGCTTTCTTACATCGTGGCAGGAGTAGCTGGAAGCCACAGCCGACTGCTACCTTAGAAGCGGAAGCTATGGGGCGTTATTCTTTGCCAGCTCATTTCTTGGCCCTCCAGACCTCAGGCTCTCTGCAGGAAGCGTGGCAGCAGCCCTGGCAGGTGTCGAGGCAGGCCACTTCACTGGCCTTTGTGTGGAGGAAAGGCTTTATTTCCTCTGGATTTGGGAAATCCAGAATATCCTTTTTTATTTCCTTAGCCCTGGCACTAGCTAAATATTTTTTCTTCCCCCTGTTGGTCTCATCCTCTTCCAATATTTTCTTGGTCTCCAAGCTGTACGGGGCTCTGCACTCGGTGCTGGGTGAGATGCAGAGGTCATAGTGTGTGGTCACTGCACTCGAGCAGGGAGTCCAGGTTTGTCAGGCCTTTATTGGAACGCGCGTAGCAGCCCCTTGGAAAAGGTGGTCTTGAATGAGCGGAGCAAAAGGCGGTAAAGTCGGTCGAGGCCAGGCCTCGAAGAGAAGTGCAGGAGGATCTCGCTCAGGCTGTCGGCAGAGGGGGATGGGGCGGATCAGCTGGCTCTGGGCATCTGCAGCCTGGGTTGCACAGGCACGGAGGGGACTGTGGAGCCTGCTGCCCAGCCCCTGCCACCCGTCTTCCCAGTTCACACCCAGGGGCTCCATGTGCCGTGAGCTGCCGTAGGTACCTGGCAGCGGTGGGGCAGTTTCCCTGCGACGCCTGCTTGTCTGATGAATGATTGCTTTTGTCTCTTCCTTTTCCTGCCACACTGTCCCCACTGGAACTGCGTCGTGGATTTACAGTCATTTCCCCGAGGGGTTTACTGAATCTGAACTAACTGGTAATCCCAAGAAAAATTCCTTGGTGGATCCCTCCTAATTCTGTTTCACTGTCAGTGGGCCTTAATAATTCCAATTTGTCTGTAGAGTTGTCTAAAGAGAGAGTTCTCTGGGAAATGTTTCTTTTTCAAGCAGCGTTTCCGTTCAGAGGGCTTAATGATGCAGTGGACATCTTAGTGAAACGGGTGATGTTGAGCTTGGTTTGGCTCCTGGGGTTTCCCTAGCAGAGCAAAGAGAGGAAAGTATCAAAAGAGACAAAGCTTTAAGAGATGGCTTCTGCAGAATGAGATTCCTGGCACAGCTCTTATTTGTGCATTTGCTTGCAAAAAGAGACATAAAATTGTTTTATGAATATACTGAAGTTTTTTGTTGAAATTTTGTGGAGTTATTTTTGGGTTTCTAATCAAGCAGGTTCCGGCACAATAGAAACGGGTTTGACTTGCGTTGTTATTGGCTTGTTAAATTTTATCAAGGTGGTGACGTGTGAGAAGTGGGTTAGCCCTTAACTCCTATCACTGCCGTGGGTGATACCGCCAAGAGCGGAGGCTTGGAGAGAAGAGCAGTTAGGTTAGGCTTTCGTCTCCTTCGGCCCGGGCAGCCCCTACGCGATTAGAGACCAAGGAGGCACAATGTCCTGAAATTAAGTCCCTAATCTGAAATTCCCATTGCACCCTAAAATGTCTGCTTCTGCTTTTACCAAACCTGAAATGTGCATTGGTGTGTTGGTGGGGTTTTTGTTTTACATCCTTTTTATCTGCCTGTCCTACCTCAGCGAAAGAGAGTAATGAACAATGGAATGCCCAAAACCACAAAACCGTGCGGGCGGAAAGGGAGGAGTAGTGACAGGTCCGGGCAGCACCACCCAGAAATCGATAGCCAGGTTATGAATAATCAAATGTCAACAAATAATTGTAAGAGATCAAGTCAAACATTGAAACTGTAAGGCCCTATAGATTACGACAGCGATAGTACTGTCGTCTCCAACTCATATTCTTGTTTTTCTTTCTAGAAAGAAAAAAAGGGTTTGTTGAAGTTGCTCTCTGGCGCCTCCACTAAACGGAAGCCCCGAGTGTCGCCTCCAGCGTCACCCACCCTGGAGATGGAGCTGGGTGGCAGCGAGCTGCCCCTGCAGGGAGCGGTGGGTCCCGAGCTGCCCCTCGGTGGTGGCCACGGCAGGGCGGGCTCCTGCCCCACGGACGGAGACGGCCCGGTCGCAGCAGTGGCGGCGGGAGCAGCCCTGGCCCAGGACGCCTTCCACCGGAAGGCGAGTTCCCTGGACTCGGCCGTGCCCATCGCTCCCCCGCCCCGGCAGGCGTGCTCCTCCCTCGGCCCCATGGTGAACGAGTCCAGGCCCGTTGCTTGCGAAAGGTGAGTTCAGTGTCACTCCGGCAGAAGGCTAAAAAATGCACAGCGAGCTGGGTGCTGGCACGTTCATTCTGATATTTAAGATATTTTTCCACATCCTCCTAAGTATTTTTTGAATCGAATTTGTAAGAACAACCAAGCACTGACTTTCACACTTGCCACAACGTCCCTGTCCTCCTTTTCCTCCCATTTCTTACATGGGTGAGGGTCCCCCACCCTCCTCCTCCTCCTCTATTTTCTCCACTCAGCCGCTTGGAATGACGTCCAGAGGAAATCTGTCAGTCGCTAGAGACGGGTTCAGTTCACGTCCTCCTTCCTGCCTCTGCCAGCGTCAGCAGCCACTCCCTTTTTTTGTCCTTTGCCTTTTTTATTAAAGGTTGCCATCATTGCCCGCTGGCTGTAAAGGGCTGGAGCATCTGCCCATGCGAGGAGTCTCCGTACTGTCCCTGAGCCGGAGCAGGGCCGAGTTCTCAGCCTCAGCCGACTCCCCTCCTGACCCGGCGGTCACGGGGAGCCTCTTCTGGCGACTCTGGCCTCGAATGGGAGCAGTTGTGCGATACGGATACTTGGAGCTAGGAGTGTGTTAGGAAGGAAAGTATGTTTAATAGGACAAATATCTATTTGGATTACATAAACTGAAAAATGAAATACTGTTTGTTACACAGGAAGACATCATGAAGTACCCTAAGTGGACTGTTTTCACATAACATATAAACACATAAATTTGTTTCAAGTACCATCTGCTTTATTCTTTCTATAAGCTTCATTTCCCGTGTACCTGAATTTTGTAAATCAGATTTCTCGTTTGTGGAAGTATTGCCTTTTTGGTAGCATTTCCTGTGTTGCTGATTTGAAATCTTACTGAAGTATTACACCTTAAAATGACTTAAATTTACCTTGCCTCTGCATTTCAGGTGGTGCCATGTGAACATTTGTATCCACCAAAATCTGAGCCCTTCATTCATATGATGTTTTTTGGCATACTTTTTATCTAAACTATGAAAAATAGAAAAGAATAAACCTCCAGCAACCTATGTATCCTACGTACAAAGTACATGATTCATTATGTATTTTTATAGTGAGGTGAAATAATTTTTTGACATTCTAAGCCTTACAAAGTCAGTTTTCAAATGAGACATTACCCTAAAAAAAGTGTTCGCTTTCTACAGATGAAATCATCCTATCTTTCCTCTTATCCACTGTGCTCTCAGGAAAGCTTTGAAATTTTGTCCAGAATTCACTTAATCTTCTGCTCTGAGACTCGGCCTTTGTCCTACAGTGGTCGCCTGCTTTCCCGGGATGGTCCATCTGCCCCTGGAGTCAGTCCAGTTACTTGTTTACTTCCTTTTGGTCACAAAGGCTCGGACTCTCCCTCCAGATCTGATCTGCACTTCTTCCTTCGTGCCCCGAGGGCCCCTGTGCTGTGTTCCCTGTCATCTGTGGCATTTGTGTGACTGCTGTGAGTGATGGTCACTCTGCCCAGACTCTCCCTGGGCGCTGGCTTGGGCACCCTGCC